GTGCTAACAGTGGCACAGATTATTTAAATAGATTTTGTAACTGTCGTTGGTACTAGAGAGATTAAATTACACTGAGCTGTCCACGTAGGTTTTGATGGGTAATTTTCATAAAGAAAAAGACAGGCTTCTAAAATTTGTTTGCTGCTTACGCTTCTTAATGGGAATGAATTCCAAAACAACTTTGAGTTTAGAAGCAATTTGTCAAGCTGTCCTGTAATTATTGCTCCTGCTCTAAATACCCTTTTAAGAATTACCCACTAACTCTTATACAACAAACAAAAAGTTTTGGTTGCAACATCAAAATCAATCTCTCCTGCCTTATCGGGTTTCTACTGCAGAATAACCTGATCTAAATGAAGTTATTAATGATTTTAATTAACAAGCAACAAGCTTTGATTTAAAATTAAGTTTTCACTTGTATTACATATTTTCATAATTTAACAAAGATTAGCATTGTTTCTTGGAAACTCTGTGAGGCAAATTTCCAAGTAAATATCATCATTATGCTATATGTGGTGTTTCTTTTTCTTGCTAAAAGTGTAACTACACACATTTGTATATACACATATTGCTTAGCATGCATGTATTCATGTTCTGGTTTTTTTTTTACTCTGTTGATATTTAATAGGAGAAAAATAATTAATCAAAAACTTTTAAGTAAAACGCATAGAAGAAAGTACAGATGTAAATCTTAAAAGAGCTTCTTCAAAGCACAAATAGTCTTATAGATTATTATATATACATGTTTTGAAAACTGCTTTTTTTTTCCTCAAAATCCTGTTTTGGTTCTGCCCTTTGCATTTGTTGCATGCAAACAAAGCTGAGTGCCTGCAAAATTAATCAATCTGAAAAATGACATTATGTGGGTTCAAGTGATTGAAAAACTTAAGCAAAGGAAATGGCCAGACCTGGTTTTGGCTCTTCAGCAAATGGAAGTCTGTAGGGGCTCCAAGATCTTCTGCAGGCTGAGTGTGGTCATGTTCCTGTTGACAGCTGGGAGTGGCATGCACAACAAAGTGCTCCCCTTCGTGTGCTCCACGCTGAAACTTGCCTGGAGAAGCAAGAGCTACCATTCGCTCTGGTGCGTGGGCCCTGCTCTGCTTGGGAATCACAGGGTGATGTTCAAAGCTCAGTAGGTCTCCCCGAGGAAACCCCTGCTGGATGCCTCCCTGCTGACACGCGTTGCTCCCATCTCTTTCACTGAGACAGGCTTCCCTCTGGCACAACCCAGCATTTGACTATGGGATTTAGATGAGGAACCCAAAGTGCCATTTAAAGCTGGCTGCTTTCCCCTCCACCTCACAGCACCCACTTTTGTACACCCCATGTGAACCCACATGAAGGGAGAACCTTTAGGCTCACAGTCACTTCAGCCTCTTAGCAAAGCAAGGATCTATACCTTCTTCTCTCCCCTCCCCAAATGCCTGCAGAATAATAAGCCCCACAGAATCAGTGACTCCAAGGTTTCACTCTGAATCCACCACAGCTGTGGAAAATACATACCCCTGCCTTATAGGCTGATGACTTCCAACTGTATCTGAAACAATCATCCCTGTAATTGCCATTCAGGACTGCTTCCCAGCACCAACCTTATCAGGGAACATAGCAAAAATTGAGGCCTGATCTTATATGGCATAGAAATGCAAGGTGGTGAGTGTCTGAATGTTCTCACTGTGCCCTCCAAGAGCTAGGTGGGCACAGTGTGTAGCACAGGTTAGGCAGGAAAGGACAAGGCCTCCTTCCCTCTCCTTTCAGCTTTCTCAAATGATCTAAGATGTCATCATATGTCAAAGATTTCTCCTCTTGTTGTAGCTACTAATAGTTATGAAATGTTAACTCTTTCTTTGCTGCAAGCTGGAGTCTGGGGGAGTGATGTACTGCCAGTGAATCCTGTTTACAGAGCCTACTCTTGCTATTTTAATGCTGTGTTGTGCTGACCTGGGCTGTTGGAGTACCAGGGTCTTCATAATCTCTCTGCTGGCAAAGGGTCACCCTCAGTGATGGGTAGTGTGTCCTGCTGTGCAATGCTAACCGGCTGGGCAGGTGGTTTGCTGTGCTGCATGCCTCAGTGTTGACCTGTTGTTCTATTGCTACTGGTATCTTCACATGAGGAGGTGGTCTCTTGAAGCTCTTTTCTCTGTATTCTCCACTCTGATGTCTTATGGCCAGTTTTGGCTGTATTAGGCAGAGGGGTGCAGCCCCAGCAGCAGTGAGGGAGGATGCAGGGCCCCACTGAGGGAAGGGCTCCATGCCAATGCACTGTCCTGAGCCAAGTGTGCTCTCAGCACAGCAATAGCCCGGAGACAGCTACAGCAAAGGGCTGCCCTGGACCATGGGGATGACGAGAAGCTACTGGTGAAGACACAATTTTAAAATAAAATTGAGTTTCAGCACTCTGCTGCTCCTGGAAGAGGCACTTGTCTTCTTAATGAGATGATTCCTATGTCAAAAAATTGCCTCTTTGGAAACTCACATTTAGTGCAAGGGGAATATTCCTGTCAGTGCTCCAGTTGCAATTGGTTAAAGACACCATCTGCTGCAACACTTGGCCAGCTTGGCATTTAAAATGTCATTTGGACTGGAAATCCCTGGATACCAAGGCAGATGACATCAGCGAAGGTGAACTTCCGTAAGTGAATGAGGTTGCTGATAAAAAGACTGAATTACAGAATTATTTACATAGAACTGTGGAAGACTGCTGATTTTTCTCATATGCTTAATTTCCTGTACATGCCTTATGCAATCTACCTTGAAGAAGCAATGTTACAAGAGATGTCAGTGAAATTCTGCATTTAAA